GAAAGAAAGAAAGAAAGAAAGAAAGAAAGAAAGAAAGAAAGAAAGAAAGAAAGAGGAAGGGAAAGAAAGAAAGCAAGAAAGTTAGGAAGGTAGAGAAAGAAAGAGAGAAAGAAAGTGCAAGAAAGAAAGAAAAGGAAGGGAGAGAAAGAACGAAAGAAAGAAAAATAGGAAGAGAAAAAAGAAATAGGTGGGGGGAGAAAGAAAACTCTGTGCTATTATCTTTAATTGTTCCATTATTTATCCTGTATTAATATTTTACACTGTCCCTACACCTAGAGTGATTTTACTGCCTTTATAAAATAAAATAAAAATAAAAATGAAAGGACTGGGTTCTACCGGCTTTCAAAATCCAGGTCCTTTCGAGCGTTTCGTGCGAAGGGAAATGTTTAATTTCTGCGTGTCTGCAAAGGCAGCCTCTTTTGGGGAGGGGAAAGAGAACGGCCTCCCAGCTGCTCTCCTGAAGGAGGGGCAGATTCAACGATAAGTGGTGCAAAGGGAGCTGGGATTTTTTTTTTTTTTTTACAATTCTTATGTAAGATGACGTGCCGAAAATTACTCAAGTTTCATATAAACCGTGTGAGACAACTGAGATTCAGAAAGCAGGAGGTTGCAATATTTATTTTTTGCAAGGGCTGCTGCGGGCTGCACGGACCAGAAAAATAGAATATAACAAACAAACAAAAGCTTAGCCCTCTCTCCACCCTTCGGATGGGCCCAGCACCTGCTTAAAATATTAAGGGCTTGGCCACAGCTGCCGTCTCCTTAGGGCTTAGCCCCCCCCCCGCCCCCCCATGTGAATTATAACCCAATTACAGCGGATTCCATAGCTCATGCTAAAGACGCTGTTAAACGGATATTATATCGCATATGTCAAACAGCCTGATCTGAATAATCCTGGCTAGGATTTCAAAGAATGGAAGCACGAACAATGCTTGTGTGTGTGTGTGTGTGTGTGTGTGTGTGTGTGTGAGAGAGAGAGAGAGAGAGAGAGAGAGAGAGAGAGAGAGAGAGAGAGAGAGAGAGAGAGAAATGCTTTCCGCCCTCTGCAGTGAAGGCTCTCACATGTCTTAAGTGGAAATGCTGTTACTCCCCCCTAAAAGAGAACCTGACCTGGGGGGCCCACATTGCAGCCCTGGTCAAAAGGGCCCAGCAGAGATTATACTACTTGAGGCTTCTCAGGAAACAACAACTGAATGGAAAACTGCTGGTGACTTTCTCCCGCTGCACCATAGAGAGCCTTTTAACATACTGAACCCCTGTATGGTTTGCCAATTACACAGTGGCAGATAGGGGGACACTCCAGAGAGTTAATGTCATTGCCCAGAAGATCATGGGTTGCCCTCTCCCCTCTTTGGAAGAGCTTTAGAGCTCCCGCTGCCTTAGGAAAGTTCAAAACACCCTCAAAGATCCATCTCATCCTGGGAACCCCCTTTTTTTGAACTATTAACATCTGGCAGACAGTACAGGACAATAAAAACAAGGACAAATAGGTTGAAAAACAGCTTCTATCCCAGGGCAGGAGCTCTGTTGAATTCTACTGTAAATAGTGCAATATTGATGCAATATCAGGGGTTTTCAATTCAATGCATAGAATGTGAAGGATGTGTGTTTGTGTTTATTTTCATGGTCATGATGTGCACTGAAGATGGTGTTTGATTTCGTTGTATGGGGTGCAATGACAATAAAGTAAAACTAAGCAAAACTAAACTAAACTTATTGGGCACGTATCTTTGGGTTCGGCATTTAAGGCTCAATCGTGAGCAAAGCCAGAATATTCTATTAGCCCAGGGGTGTCAAAATCCAGGCCAGCGGGTTGGAACCAGCCCACGGGGCCATCCTGGAAACAGTGAAGGACCGGCTCATGGTGTCTCCTGCCAGCGAAAACGGAGCTCAGGAGGGCTGCACGTGCCCCCCCCCCCGATGCTGTGTTTGTCAGCCATGACAGCCAGGGGTGGGATTCAATTTTTTTAACAACTGATTCTGTGGGCGGGGCTTAGTTGGTGGATGTGGCTTGGTGGTCATGTGACTGGCTGGGCGTGGCCAACTCAACATCACTCACATCGAGGCATGCATCTCCTCACATGGCCTCTCGTGACTGTGGGGATGCTGCAACAGTCATAACTGTGAAAAACAGTCATAAGTCACTTTTTTCAGTGCCATTGTAACTTTGAATGGTCACTCCACACAAGCAAAGTACCAGCAAAGGAGGGGAAAAAAACTCCAGACACAGGAGGAAGTCTAGTCTTGCCCAGACTATAAAAAGGGTTAACAGAGAGGCAGTTTCTGTAAGCAACACCAGAGTGTTTCCTTCCTGCCTTCCTTACAGGATTAGACCAGTAATTTCTTCTAACAACCGGTTCTCCGAACTGCTTAGAATGTTAACAACCGGTTTAAGTGAATAGGCACGAACCTGTAGAATCCCACCCCTGATGACAGCCTCCTGCAGCCTCGTGTCAGTGAAAATGGGGTTCAGGAGGACCATGCATGGCCCCCTCAGTTCTGTTTTCAGCCAAAATAGCCTCCCGCCGCCTTCTGCCACCAAAAATGGAGCTTGGGCGCAGGAGGCCATCCAAGCCAAAAATGGAACCACACCCCATCCCGTCCCAGCCAAGCCACCCAGCGCCCTGAGCTCAAACACAACCCTGATGCGGCCTCGATGAAATTGAGTCTGACACCCCTGCATTAGCCAGACAAGCAAGGCTCAGATTATGCAGTTTTCTTCACAGCAGTGTTAGTCCTCGACTTGAGACAACAAGAGATTCCATGGCTAAGCATGGAGGTTGTTAAGTGAGTCGCGCCCGATTTAGCAATCTTTGGGGGGTAATCTTTGGGTTTTAAGTGAATCACTGCAGTTGTTAAGCATTGACTTTGCTTGTTGGATGCCCCCAGGAACAGTGTGATGACCCGGGGTGTGACACAAAAATAACAAAGTCACAAAAGTAGAATACATTCCCTTTAATGCCTCTAACTTGGCCCCCAATGTCCGATTATCCTCGGATGGATATCAAACTCTTCCAAAAATAGTCTGCAAAGGAAAGAAACGCAGTCCGAACCCAAAGTAAAGATAATTAGAAATAAACAACAACACAAAACACGCTGAAGTAATTAACACGGCAGGCCAGGATGATAAATTGCAGACTTCCAACAGATAAAGCAGCACCCATAGTTCAGAAGACACGACAAAGATAATGTACTCTTTGATTCCAGCAAGGAGCTGTGTGCAAATGCCCCACTTATATCCTGTTTTCCCAGCTACAACTAATGAAAGGGATCAGGACCGTTTTCTCTCCCTTAAGCCATGTTGCTCCCTTCTCTGTTCCTCCCTGCATGCCGTAGGATGAAGAGGGGATGGCCCTGGGTCTTCCTCTGAATGCCCAGCCGGACTGTGCTCTTCCCCCATTTCCCCCACAGCCACTGGAGCCACACTCTCACTCCCTGTCAGCTGCTCAATCTCCCCCTCAGAATCAGACTCCAACAAGAGCAGGACAAACAGTCACAAACGGCAATTCCAGGAATTCGGGATTCTGCAAGCATCCTAAGTACTTGCTGGCTGCCATGCACCCAAATTCTGTTTAAATGTCTTTGGTGCATGCCACAATGGTTGTAAGTGCAAGTCCCTTTATTCGGTGCCGAATGTGGCTGTTCCAACCTGGGAAGGTGTCTCTGGAAAAGAAGAGAGGGATCCAGTCAGACTGAAAGCAAAAGTGACTTTCTGCTACCATCCGCAAGTGTATTTGGCCTTCGGTCATGCTTTTCCCCAAAGAGCCATCATCCTGGGCTGGGAACCGTGGCTGGCATCTCTTCCCCAACTATGAAAAGTTGGCCAGCTCATCTGGCAGAGGTCAAGGCTGCCAGTCAGGCTCTCGACTGGAGACCAGACTGGGAAGGGAAGACGCAGCCTAAGGGGGAGGCTCTGTCCACCGAAACCCAGGAACAGGTCCAGGTCCGCTTCCACCAAAAGGAAAATCAACATGTCCTTCAGGAACCCTGGGTCCTATCTAAGAAAATAAAATTCAATGTA